AATTTGACCGGTTGTCGCTTCTTTTGCTCATTATTTATCTACACAGATTTCAATCTGTAAAAGTCAGAGTTCAGGATTTTTTAATTTTATTTTTATCTGGGTAAATATTTATAGGGGTAATTTAATTTTAGAAGGATTAATAAGATAAAATTGATTTTAATAATAATGGAAATTTGAAATAATTAGAAACTTTTTGAATTAAAATATTGGATAATTATTTCAGCAATCAAAATTTTTAAAAAATAAAATTAATTTTACAAGTAATAAAAAACTGGAAGAAATGGAAGTTTTTAATTAAAAAATTGAATTTTTCAATTTAAAATAGATAAACATTTCTTCTATTACAGAAATTTTTGTAATTATTGACTAGAAATTTGATGAAAAATCGGGTAAAATTGTTAATAAAAAAATCACCCATTAATAAATTACATACAAAAAATATTTATTATTAAATAGATAAATTTAATAGAAAGTAGAAAAATTTGGAACCCAAAAATTAAATTTTATCTTTAATAAAATAAGGTTCAATAATAAAAATCATTTCAATAATTAATAAAAATTTCTTCTTTCAAAAAAAGAATTCAATTATCAATAGAAATGTCAATCCATCCAAGTAAAACACATTAGTCAAAATTTTGGATAAAATGAAAATGAAAATGGAATTTAAATATCTTCAATTTTTTTTTCTTGCTAAAAAGAACTTAAAAGTATAAAGGAAAAAATTTTTAAAACTGAATTTTATGATTAAAAATGCAGAAATCTTTTTTATTAAATTTACATAGAGTTCCAATTTTTTAAATTGACAAAATTATAACACTTACTTTATAATATTCGACTTGGTAGCTAATAAATTGATCAATTCTTTAGTAATAATTCGATAGATTTTTCTTTTTTAAAAAGAACTCTAATTTTTTTCTTATATGTTTGATCAAATAACAACTTTAAAATTTCATTGAACATTATTAATTTACAATAATTGAACTCTTTTTAGTTTTAATAAAAATTTTTATTATTTTTGAAAATTAACTGTCTATAAAAATTTTTTTATACAATTTTTAGTATGAATACTTAAGACACTAATTTTACGATTATTAAATATAGAAACATTGGCAAAAAAGTTTCACACTTCATAAAAACTATTCTCGACTTTTACCATTATAAAGTTTCGAAAATACACATTGCAATAAATAACGGGAATAAATAGCCAGCAATGATAGGTGATTAAAAAAAAAAAAATTAAGTCGCGTGTAATTTTGTAACGCGTAGAAAAATTTATTTATGCAATAAATAAAAGTATAATAATAAGGATTTTCATAAGATATTATAAATAAATAAAATACTACGTAGTAGCCAATGTCATCAGAAATAAATGTCATTTCTTATTCTCTGGAGTATGAATGTACGATCTTGGAATAACTTTCGGTAAAAAAGTACTGCGTGTAGGCCGCGGGCGTAGGAGTTCCCGAGGTCCCGTGATAATTGAACAAGTACAAAAATAAAAAATTGTTTATGGAAAATAAAATCGAAAAACAAATAAAAAATCACTAATATAATGCTATTAAGTATTCGTCAAAAGTAAAAGACGTCACTGTTATTATTTGTTTATTTCCCCCTTTTTATTAAATTTTCTCGAGCGTATTATGATCTGCGGCCAATAATTATCGTGCAGAAAATAATAACATAGCCATGGAGGGGGAAACTTGCCATAAATGTCGCCGTTTATTGGTAGTTTCGAATCTCACCGCATTGGCGCTTTAGTTTAACGCACTAGTGATATACTAGTTGGAATTTTTGGCAGCGAAAGCTCAGTGTAAGATCCAATCCTCGATCCGAACGGTCAACCGAAAATTAGGTAATAATTGTCCACATACTCGACATAATTCACATTTTTAAAAACTACGTACCATTTTTCACAAATTTTATTATTTAAAAAAAAAAAAAGAAATTAAATTTTTTCTTTTCGTGCGGATTTTTGATTTTTGCTAAGCGAGTTTCTTGTTAATTTAAATATTGTCAACGTCAGCTGTCAAATTTTGACACAAGGAGACAACAACCACCTGCTGTGATGTATAATTGTGATAAATTATTAATATTGTTTTAATTGTTGAGGAGTAACGATCTAATATCGTTGTCAGGACTATTATTTTTTTTAATTATTTATTAACAAATATTAACCAATTTTTGAATAAATTTTTTTGAGCACTAATAACTAATTATTTATTTAATTTTATTAGTAATTATTGATTATTTATCATTGATTAATAATCAATAATCAATTGTAAATTAATAATTTTATAAGGGTTGATTAATATAAAAAATTGGCCTGAAATTAACCTGACACATTAACCTAATTATAGAATGGAATTGGATCATGATCTAATAACACTCATGACTCAGATTAAGATTGCCCGCTAATGTATTATATGTTGATAAGAGAGAATTATTTATAAAGAGTAGAGTGTATTGTGTGGGTGTGAGTGCAGCTGACAGATAAATAGAAGCTCTAAAGTCGGAGAAAGATGTTGGTTTATACCAATAAATTGGCACGAAGATTTAACAGTTATGTAAGAGTATACACATGCACATACGCTAGATTCGATATTTATATGCCGGGTAAAAATAACCCGAGAGCGGCCAAACCCACTAAGGTCTGACCAACTGTACTTGTTAGCTCACTGTTATAACATTACGTATTATTTAATTCTTGCTCAAATTTCTAACTCATCGTTTTGGTGTTATTGCCAAGAGTAAGTCCGAGGTATTTTATTATTGCGTTTTTCGCTGTTGTATATTTTAGTTAATCCAAAAATTTTTTTAGAATAAAATGAAAAATTATTTTTTCAAAGTTCTGCAAATACTATAGAGTAAAAAAATTATTTTGATGTTTTTTTTATATTTATTTTTATTTTTGAGAATTAATAATTACCAAAATTAAAAATAATTTTTTTAATGAAATTTTATATTTAAAATTTGACATGATTTTTCTTTAATCTAAAAAAATTTTTGATAATTTACAAAAAAAATTTATAACAATTTTTTTCGGGGATGTATTCATTTATTTACCGGTTCGATAATTTTGACAATAACAAAAAAAAAAATTATTTAATATTTACAAATTTTGATTACCATTTTTTAAATTATTTTAATATACCATGAAAATTAGTAGAAGAAAAAAATAAATAAATAGAGATTTAAAAATAACTTTTAATTTGTCCTTCACCTAAAAACAAATATAAACCAAAACTAATTAAAAAACAAGTAAGTCCGATTTTAAATTTAACTTGTCTTCGTGCCGTCTGACTACATAAATACTCCTTCTACTCAATCTACACATTGCACATTACTCATTACTCATTACTACTTATTATAGCTATCGCGCAATAATTAAAAAAAATTTTTTCAATTATTTTTGGCACTTTTATTAATGATTGACTCATCGAACAAATTAATTATTATGAGTCATGAGTTTATTATTAAGTTGTACTTGTATAAAGAGAAAATGAACAATTTTTAATTATGCATGTTTTGTTTATTTTTAACATTATAAAAAATTATATTTTTAAACTCAATTAATGAAAAATTTAATTATTAGTCAGAATTTTGAAATTTTTCAAATATAGTCCAAAATTATTCAAAATTCAAAAACAGATAATTCTTCTGAAAAAAATAAATTTCTTTAGTAAGGAAAAAAAATTAAAAAAAAAAAATATTTATAAAATAAATCATTTTAAGCAAAGTAAAAATTTTGGCTTTAAAATAATTTTTTCTCTATCAAAACTATTTTAATTTTCCTCAATAATTTTTTTGGCTCAAGTAAAAATCTTTCTATGCAATCAATAGTAATGAACTTTAATATAAAAAAATAAATTTTGGCATAATGTCAAACTCTGACAGATTAGAGTCGAGTGTTGCAATACTAACACCCAAAAAAATTGACCTTTTTTTTGCTTGGATAAAAATTTAAACTATAATCTTCTCAAATTTCTCTTTTTCATACCAGTTAAGTTTTAGCCTAAAAATAAAACCCTCACTTGAAAATTTTGCTCCTAAAAAACAATATCAAATATTTCGTTTTAATTAAGAATATTAAAAATATGTGGCAATAAATTAAAAATTTTTAAAAATAATAATAATGCCGATTTGATCATTAAAATCTATAAATAGTAAATTAAATATCCGAGTCATCAATTACTCACAATTCAGTGAGTAAGCTTCCGGTTGTTGACTAAAAATCTATAATTAATAATAATAACTCCGTTGACAAATTTGTAAATCAGTAATTGAATCCCGCGAACGAGAATTATGAGGTCATTGTCAACTTATAGTAGATCTAACTCACAGGAATGGTTGGTTATACATATGTCGGTCAAAGTCAGCAGTACATAGGTGGCTTTACTCTGGTAGTTTACTTGATGTGAAGGTATAGTAACGGAATGTAAAGGCTAAATAGAAAGAGAAGGAGAAAGAGTAAATAGCTCGAGTTTAAATATTAAATTAAACGATTAAGCTCTGTCTGCGCTTAGCTACACCTGTTTCAGATCGGCATATACATGTATATTGTAACATATGCATGTATATCGTATGTTATAACACATTGATGCAATACACAAGACATCAGAGAAATCTAAAAATGATTCTTGGTCTGAGCTCTAGATGCTGAGGGGGCTGCTACTCACAGACTAAATTTATCGAACATAAAATCCGGGACTCTTGCGTCATTACCTCAATCATACGTACATTCAAAATTATAAATAATATTTATTATTTAGAAATTTTTGTTTTTAAATTAAAAAAAATTTATTTTTCGAATTTCTTAATGAATTTATTTCAGATAATATTAATTGGATTAATTAATTAATGGTAATGAATTTTTTTTTTTCCAGCGAACGAGTACAAGTGATCGGTAGAAGTAGCCAATAGCTACGTTGTGGCATCGAATAGTTTACAATAGTTATTCTTATTAATTACTGATTGATAACTAAATTTAAAAAACGATAAAAATGGACGCGCGATTCAAGAGCAATCTTGCCATGATTGGCCGTAACGAGCCCATTACGAGAAAAGCCAAATTTTGGCAGAGTTATGTACGTGCTCTCAAAGGTATTTATTTCTTAATTTTTTTTTTTTTTTTTTTTTTTTTTCAAGAGAGAGAGTTAATTTACTATTAATTGAATTTTATTTTTGTAAACAAGGAACCGACGACATGAGAGCACCCGAACATACTCGTAAACCCAGAGGCTTATTCAGCGACTACCCTGAACTTCATTCGTCATCATGGCCTTACGGAAAATCTATTTTTGATAACCCATCGCACGCATCCGATCGCATCAATGTACCTGGATACAGGTTAATATACTTTTTTTTTTTTTATATATATATTTTGGTGATGTTAATAGAGTATAATAGATAGTTTAAGGTTCGATTGATATTTCTTAAGAATATGGAATACGGTAAAATTGATGAGGAATAGCTTTTGGCTTGAATTAAATTGCATATTTTTATAGTTTACATTCTTGATATTTTATAAAGAAATAATATTAATATTGAATGATATAATATTTTTGTATTGAAATACGCACTGAAAAAAAATTTTTTTCGACCTAGGAAATTTTTCCTTATGGATATAAATTGGTATTTCTATGATTAGAATACGAAAGTTTTTTAACTATAAGAATAAAGTTTTCTGACTGTTAAAAAACTAACCTTATAATAAAGTGTGGTATTTTAAAGTTAAGGAAACCAGTTTTTTTAAATCAAGAAAACTCAAGTAAAAAATTTAGTATTTTGGGTGGAAAAAGATTTTTTTTTTTCAGTGCGGCGTCTTAGAAATTGATCAATGAAAATTATTTTAAAGGGAACTGGTTATCTTAATTCAAGAATTTCTTAATGAAGAAAAATTTGAACAATTTTGAGCAACCTTTAAGAAATACAATACAGGCTTGAAATTTTAAGTATAAACATTACTTTTAGCTTGGAAAATATTATAGACATGAAAAACAAAAAAATTCAATTTTTGACAATTTTGGAAATATTTAAGAATTTTAAGCGACCTCTAAAAAAATTTTTCTTGAGCTGATTTTCAAAAAGGGCTTTTGAAACTTGATAAATTTTGATAGAATATTTGAAGTATAAGAAATCAATTTCTTGCGACAACCTGAAATATTAAATTTTAAATTCCCTTTCATGGTTTAAAAGTGAAATCGTCTCCATTTTTTTACGACATTAAATCCTTTCTCAATAAAAAGATTTTTGATAAATTTTCGGATTTGGACATGTATTATTTTTATTTTTAAATGATAAAACTATCTAAATGGATATTTTTGAAAATTTTCAGGTACTTACCCGTTCACCGGGAAATCTACGGCTACTCACCGAGACAATTGTATCCTCACCAGTACAAACCCGTCGAGCGCTTCGTCTCCGGTAGGTACTAACCAAAGCTGTGTCCAGAGCTGGAGAAATTAAAATCTACCAGTCAAACTGTAAAATGTCTGAAAATTTAACCAACTCCCATTGATTAAAATTTCATGGCTACTTTACCGTTTGACGTTCAAATATCTCTAAAATCTGAACGAACCTAGGGTTTTCTTTCACAAGCACGTTCTTCCACTCTTTGTAAAAGACTTTTGTTTTATTGTCACACCCCCACCCACATACTTTACGTTTACTCAATGACAACAATTTTTACTTTTCGTCTTTTTTTTCACTAAAAAAGAACTGAAAATTTAGTTTGAATTTTTCATCAAACTCAGTACTTAAATAATAATAATATTCGTAATGATAATAATAATGAATAGTAATAATAATAATAATATTAATAATAATGATAATAATAATAATAATAATGTATAATTAAACTCATGTTCATCACACAAAATTGACTTTGATTTTTATTTTTACTCGCTGCCTGTGAGAGCTACACACTATTACAAAAATTGCCTTGCTGCACTACCTTTGTATGTCTATGCAATTACTACCTCCTGCAAATAGTCGTCTTTAAGTGAAATTATAATTACACATTAAAAACTAGTCAAAACAAAATCAAAAAACAAAAAAAATTTATATTTCTTAAAACAATAAAAATTATAAAAAAAAAAATTGAATCTACATACAAATAATCATTATCCCTTTTTTGTCGTGTTTACATCGTGTTAATTATAAATAATTGATTATATTGTTAGTTAATAAAGTAAATAATTTTAATTACATTGTAAATTACTACGTTTTTTTTTTTTCGTTTGTCAAAAGACATTTGTATGCGTTAATCACTGTAATTAAATAAATCATTTAATTAATTAATTATTTTTTTATTTAATTAATTAATTAATTAATTAATTGTTATTGTTAGTAACTAATTTACCATAATTATAATAATAATAAGTGTTTATATTTTATTACATTCAAAAATTTAGTCATCAAAATACGTTACGCACGCACGCATTTAAATATTATCATTCTTTCGTTCATTTTACTTGCATTAATTATTAGTTTTGATAATAATAAATCCCAAGTCGATTAGTCATTAGCCATTTTACATATTAATTACATTTATTTTAAATAAGTGCCATTGAGTGTTTAGAGAAGTTATCAAAAAATCGTTCATTTAATTATTCATTGCGTGTTTTCAGTCAAAATTTCGTGTTAGTTGTAGATTTATATTATACAATTGGACACGATGATTTTGTTGCTAAATAAACTCAAAAAAAAAAACGAAATAAAATAGGGTTTTTCCCGTGATTTGGAAGAAAGCTGCACAGTAAAAAATTTTGCGTCAATGCGTCAAAAAATTTTGTGTTAAAAATTTTGATGTTAAATATTTAACACTTTTTTGTGTTAATTTAACACAAAATTTTTTGACGCAATGACGCAAAATTTTTTACTGTGTGTATAGCATTTTAATATTGGACCTTCTAGTCGCGAAAAACAAAACTAGGATTAGGTTTAAATGGTATTTTTGCATTTGAAAATGATTGAAATAGAAATAGAAATTTGAAAAATTAAAACATCGCACGGAAAAAAGAAAAAGGGAAAAATTACATTATATAATGTAACGTGGCGCTTCCGTGTGGAAAAATTTCTCTGATAAAAGAAATAACTGTGAAAAAATTTTAATAAGTACGAATAATAGTTCATGAGTTTTTTATTTTCTTAAAAAGTCTTATTAAGTCGAAAAAACTCTTCATTCGATTTAGAGTCAGATTTTTTGCAAGATTTGGAACTCTACCAGAAGAGTTGTTCAGAGTTATTAAAACTTCTTGTAGGAATTTCTTCATGTAGGAAAATATTAAAATTTTTTCACAGTTATTTCAGATAAATTTTTCTACAAGGGTTCATATAAAAAACTGAATCCCAGAAAAAATTGACCGGAAAAAATAGACCTGGAAAAAATTTTAAAGTCATGAAAAATTCATATTATATCAAATTTTTATTATTATTATTATTATTATTATTATTATTATTTTAATGAAATAATATGAATTTTTCATAATTTAAACTGGATAAATTACAGTTTTAGATTGTAATTATTACAGATTTTGTAAGAATTACATTGTAAAAATGTAAATATAACATTGAAAGCTCTGACAATTAACATTTAAAGTTTAAATTTATAAAAATTTTATTTCAAACTGCAATTTTTCTAGTTTTATATATAAAGCGACGCTTGTTACTATTTCATAGTGTAATTTTTGCATTCTTCTTTTTTGCGTGCATATATTTTATAATTCAAAAGTTTCTTTTTATATTACGGCTAGATTTTTTTTTCTTTACCAAACTTAAAAATTCTTATCCCATTTTAAGACTTTTTTTTTGCTAAAAAAATAAATAAAAGAACTTTTTATCAACAAACGAAAGACCGCACTTGTTAAAAATAAATAAAATTGCGAGAATCGGGCTTTTAGCTTCAACTATGTTGGCACAACGAGCAAAGCGTGTGTGCCAACACACGAGTTTCAAAAGTCTCATATGTAAATTTTAAATTGCAATTTTAAGAAATTGTGACTAGATATGTTGCTATTTTTTTCTCTCAGAAAATTTTAAATTTTTTAGTAGAAAAAATTTCTAGCTACCACAAGATTCTTTGAGGTTATTTTGCAATAAAATATCTTGTAAAAAAATTGTCTGATAATAGTGTCCATTAGTGAGCAGTAGAGAGTACAGTAGTAAATGTCTATAAAAAAGGGAACAAAATAAAAAACGTGAATCGTGTGTATTATTTATAATTATTTACAGACGAATATCCAGGTCAATGGCAAAAATGGCTTCATCTGCGGCGTCTTAATGAATTAAGTGACTTGAGAATACAGCAAATAAGACGAAAATGGCAAAACCGTGAAAATATACTCCACGAATATTTGCTTAAATTAAAAGTATTGAGAAACCGGCGCTATGATATGCCTTACTGCGTTTGCTCATTTTCTTGGCGTTCTTGAAAACTTTTTAATTTTATAAATTATAAATTAAAGTCTAATAGATTAAATCTACTTGGGTACAATATATATTACTTAATCAAAATGTTCTATTAAATTATAAGTGCGTGCGGGCGGCTCTTGTTCAAAGTAAAAAACAGATTACCTTCAATTGAAATTGTTACTCTATTTTATTAATAATTAAATTAAAAATTATAAAACAATTAATGAACGCCAACCTTCTGAAAAAGCTGGAAATTTATAAATTTTATTGTTTTATTAAACTAATGCCCAGTGAATGCGCATATGAATTACGAGTGCTGAAATTTTTTTTTTTTTTTTTTTCAATTATACATAATTAACTAACAAATGATTTTATGAAATGAATAAAAATTGAATTATATATTGCACTTTGTTAATGCTAGCCATAAATTTCTGTCTTTTTCCGGAGATGGCATGTGTTTTTCATTTTATTTTTATTGCAAATCCCTTATTTATATTTTCTAATGAATGAATACTTGTTTTGGAATTTTAAAGAGGTTAGTATGAACTCAAAATATAAAATTGAAAATTTATACTGCGAATGGATGTTAAATTACTTTGGAAGTTATTATTGTATATAATGTGTGTATTTGTCTGTTCTATATGATTGGTACATATTTGGTACATAATGATACGTGGATTGAACGAACGTATTGATGATGATCTACATAGCTGCGTCATTTGACGCGGACCGAGCATGGAGTGACCACTTGGACCGATTGGCAGACATCGATAGATTGTACCCAAGCTCATCGCCCTTATTATCTCGTCACAAATCACCCTCGCTGTCGACGAAACCGCTATTTGACATTCACGGTTCGTACGAAAATCATTTTTCAATCACTAAAAAAACGTATTTGGTTCAAGAAAAATATATATTCGTGAGCTAAAAATTAAATTATATTGAAGAGATACTATATTTTTTGATTCAAGAGTTTTTTGTCTTTAGGTTTTCTCAGCGCGGAGAAATTTAACTTTTTTAATCAAAATATAATTTCATTTTCTTTTAAGAATTTTATATTTTTGGTTCAAGACAAATTTCTTCATTCAATATAACAAAAAAAATTTTTTTTTACCTGAACTTATTTTGGAAAGAGTTTTAATGATATGAAAAATAGTAAAAATTGGAGAACTATATTATTTAAACAAATCGATTATTTCTTAAAGAAAAAATTACAGGAAGACAATTTTCGAGTGAAATATAAGTTATATTGATTATAAATAGATCTCATGGAAAAAATATAGGCAAACATGTATGAAAACGTATAGGCTAACATAAAAAATGTATACACTGAAAAAAAAAAATTAACTTCCTTTAAAAGAAAAATTTTTAAACCGAGAAAATCATTTTGAAGAATTTTATTGTTTTTAATCAAGACTAAAAATTCTTGAATTGAGTAAAATTTGCTTAAAACAAGAAAAATTTCTTAGTTTAAGAATTTTTCTACTCAAATCAAGACGATAAGACTTTAAAATGATTTTTTTTTGGTAATTTTCTTGATTTTTATATGTTTTCACAAAAAACGAGTATGAAAAATTTTTACATATTTTTTTATATCTTGGATATATCTGTTTATATAAAAAAAAAAAAACAAATTATTTTCGAAAAGTTTAAATATTTTTTTGGCGAAAATTTGTGTAAGTTAGTTACAAGTAGATATAAAATTTTTATGTTTTCATACATATTTTTTCTTTGGGGGAGTAAAATGCTTCATAAACATGGTAAAATTTTTGAATTAATTCAAATTAATTCATAAAATTTTTGAATCAATTCAAATTAATTCATAAATTTTTTGAATTAATTTAAACCAAACATCTTAAAGCAAAATTAAAATTTTGAAGATAAAATTTTTCTTGAATCAACGAATTTTTTTCAGTGACACATTTTTATTCATCACATTTTAATCATACCCCGGGCTCGGGCAATAATAGATGTACCTCTGCGGCTAGAAAGCCCTAAAAATTTTTGGGTTAAAATGAAAGTTCGAATGTGACATGTGACTATGATCTAAACTATTAAAATAGGAAAGCTGTTGGATGACCCGTTAACGGACTTTCCTTCGATGCTGGGAAGAAAGGCTTTCCACGACATGCTAGAGCCCCAGCCGTCTAAACCTATCTCCGCCTTTACGAGAGATCCATGGTGGTACCCATGCAGCGCACCGTACATCCCAGCTCACGCTCAATGGATATCCTCACCCTTCTTCTTAAGGGACAGCTATCTCAGTCCTGTTAAGCGTAATTACCTTTGGAGAAGTCATCCTCTCAGGCCTTTTGGTACGTTACCGATTTCATAGCCTCATTTTAACTTCATTTTTTTCATGCACGATTTTAGTCTAGGATCTGTAGAATAGGCTCTTAGTTCACTCGCATCTCAATCTTTTTTTTTTTTCAGTAGATTTATAATTCACTCATTACATTTCCAAGAAAATCAATCATAAATTCAATTAATTTAATTTATAATTTTATTTATTTACAGACAAGATTAACGTTCTATTTGCGTCTATTTTGTAAATATCTAACCATTCAGATTGAGGAGATAGAAATAGAGATATATAAATGTGTATATATATATATATATAGTACAAGATTAACACGAGATAAGAATCGCGGTATCGGAATAATATTTCAAGAATTTATGTTTTTAAAACGCACGACTCGCTTTTTAAGATTTTTACTTAAAGGTTTAGATTTCAAATGTTGCTCAGAAAGCCATTATTTTAGCACGAATTGTATATATATAAGCATGTTTTTATTTATTTACAGCTACAATGTATTGTGTTATGAAATTCGCCAGCATAGAATTTGTAAGAAAATTAGGTAGAAGTGCACACCTCAAGTGCTTAGCTCTCCAGCGCTCTCTAAAATTTTCTCTCTCGCTTGAGGGCAATGACGCAAAATTTTTTACTGAGCAAATTGAATTTCCTTTTTTAATTTAAGTGTACCCAAGTTAAAATTTAAATCATAGATTCAACGTATTGAACATTAAAACCTTTAGTCTAACGTATTCAACATATTGTGAACATAAATCAAACTGATAAAGAGTGAAAATAAGTAATATCAAAACTATATTTAGATAACTATGCTTTTAAACAGAAGTACGATAAAAAATGTTGTTTCAATTCTGTTAGGGAGAATTTCAGGTTTTTGGTTTAAATTTTACCATCCGTTCGATAAAAATACTCAGTCCGAATTTTTTACTTGTGAAATGTTTCCGAAATGATTTTTTTCGGTATATGGCTGTTTAAGAAGACTAACTAGTGTTTAATTAGGAACCAGTGGTACTTGAAATATCTTTGAATTTATTCTTTTTTATAAATGTTGAATCTATATTTTTTACGTCCAATACGTTAAACTGACGCTTTAAACATTCAAAACGTTGCATTTACGATTTGAACGTTCAATACGTTGAATCTACGACTTAAATTTCGACTCTGGTAATAAGTACGTGATTTTTTTTATCTGTAAAGAATTTAATGCTATTGCACGCCTCACAGCGCGAAGCGCGTGAGGTTGTGCTTTACACTCGATTTGTCAAGGTTAAGCAATTTTATAATATTTTTATCTATTCCTATACAAAATTTTAAAAAAATATTTTTTTTTTTGACTGAGAAATTTTTTGTTATCACAATAGTAAAATCGAGTTTGATCGTTTAATTAAAGACAGATTTATTCAAACAGCTGTAATTAATCTTGAAATTTAGTCTATTTTTTAATTTAAGTAGATCTACGCTAAAGTAAAAATGCGCTAGTCTAAAGATTAAAATTCCCAAAAAATAATAAATAAATATTATTTGAATTTTGTTTGTTTATATTTATCAATTAGAGTTTCAGTGGTAAAAATAAATTGTATATTTTTACCAATTCATATTCAGTGATAAAAAAAAATCATTGAATGGTAACGAGCGTTTGAGGTGTGCATAAAAATCCAACATCCAAAAAAAAAACAAACAGAAAAAATAATAAAAATGTATTTTATAATACAGTTTGAAGGAAAAAATGTATAAAATGTTTCAGGAAAAAAATTCTATTACTATTCGAAGCCGATTCCAAGAGTTCTATTTTCAAGACCATGGTACAATGACTATTATTGTTAGCGAAAGTGAGCAACTTCGATACAATCAAAATCTCCCCCTTAATTATTATTAATCTTTTTTATTTTTACTGCCCCTATGTAACGTGTCAATAATGAATTAAACCAATTATGATGTTGAATATTAATCCCCTGACAATTTTTATTATTTAACAAGGATTTACGAAACATATATATTTGAATTCTCAATTTTCTTATATGTTAATTGTTGAACTTGGATGTTCAATTACCCAAAAATCAAGATGTACATATTTTAGCCTTACAGTTTGATTATTTATGTATTTAATACTCAATTAATTTTTTTTTTTAATCAAGCAATTTGCTTTGCTTAATATGCTTTTATTTTAGTATTTATATTTTAAATGATTTATTACTTTTGTGCATGGTTATTTATACCGAAATAAAAATTGATTTTTTTTTCATGTACAATTTCAGTTTCAAAATCGAAAATCTAAAAAAAAATTGAAAATTCGACATGATTTTGAAACTGAGCGATTAAAATATGAAAGAATGTTGAATGGAGAAATTGATATTGATGTTTGAAGATTGAATGTGTTATTTGTTGTTTGTACAAGGACTTTTTTGAAACAAGTTTACTTAAATGTGTATTGTTTAATGTTGATTGTGAACATAAAAAAATTGCGGTAATAATTTAGAAAATTTTGAATTTACAGCTTGTGCCCGTTAGAGGAATAACACGTGTCATGCCGATGGTTTGAATATATGGTAGCGTGTATGAAAAAAAAAAGTAAGAGTAAAAACAAGAGGAAGGACGGAAATAAAATTATTGAATATGGAGTAACTAAAAATTAACGGAGAGAGATTTCAAAGAAAAGTCATGTGGAGATTGGGGCTCAAGAGAAATATATATATATATTTTTTTTTATTTAATCATTGGCCTAATACCTTTATCAATAAAAACTATGTTATGTTACAGATTCATATATGCACATATATTTTTTTTTTGTTAAATTTAATTTCGTTTCTACTTAATTACTGTAAACTGTCAAGTAGAAATAAAAACGTGAACCCCACACAAAATATTCATTTTTTATTGTATTTTCCTTCACTTTCGTTTTAGAACATTAATCCTACACTGTAAAAAAAAAACCGGGGTAAGTCCAAAGCGGTGTAGGTATTAAAATTTGCGGTGTTAAATTTAAACACCGAAAGCGGTGTTAAAATAACACTGCTGCCGGTGTAAATATTTTTTTCCGATGTTAAAGCGGTGTTAAAAATTTTCCGGTATTAAAATATTTTTCGATGTTGAAGATATTTTACTTTGTGAATATTATTTTTCACTAAATTATAATTAAGAAATTGTTCTTCGTTGGTTTTGAAGATAAAAATTCTGAGGATGAAGATCGTTTGAGAAAAAAAGAGTTCGATACCAACGGAGAACAGTTTGAAATTCGAAAAAATCGTTCTTTTCATTCTACTTAAACATCATTTTTTATAGATTTTAAAATTTTGTCAATTTTTAAATTCTAAGATCATATTTCATCCATTGAAATACATCCAAGTCATTAACAATCGTGTTTAATAGATTTTTTCTCATATGTAAATCTGCAATTTTCTCGATTTTTTTTATTATTTGAGATTTTTTTTTTAATCTTAAAACGTCAACGGTACAAAAAAACTTCAGATTCAAATTAACTGGAAAGAATACATAAAAATCATACTCAATCTGAATCCAAAAAATTTTTTTCTTCTCGATAATTTCGATTTTTCATGATTTCTCGTAATTTTTTGGGTTTTTTGCAATTTTTTCAAATTTTGACGGCTCAAGGAGCTACTTAACGTTTAAATTTAGATTCAGTGAATTGACATACATAAAAATTATACTTTATCCGGGTTCACAAAAATTTATTCATCGCTGTGACCAGTTTTTCGCAATTTTTTGGGGATTTTTTGCATTTTACTTAAAATTTTAAATGGGTGTACGAGCAAAACTGACTCCAGATTCGGATTCAGCGCGTCGAAATATATAGTGACAGATAGGTCCAGTCAAAAGTACTGATCACTTTATTTGTGGGCCGGTGTTATGAATACTACTTTAATATATTTTCTTAATTTAAAAACTAAGTTTTATTATATTTTATAGATTTTATAATCTTGATATTTTAAATAGACTGTTTACTCTGCTTTTACACCGTGGTATTACTTCGTTTTTACACCGATTTAACACCGATGTTTTCACACCGGCAAACTACGCCGGTGTTATTTTATTTTAACACCGCGCGGTGTTAAAATAAGTCCATTTTTAACACCGCTCTTTTTACAGTGTAAGACCCGAATTTCGAAAAATCAAAAATTTTGTAAAACATTTAAATGCACACTGAGAAAAAAAAATTTTTTGTCCAGAAAAAAATTTCTTGGCTCAAGAAGCTTTTAAAATAAATTTTGGTTTTTTAACAATAGAATGTCAATATCATGATAATAAAATATTTTAACAAACGAATAGGTTCACTTGAATTAAACAAAAAATAATTTGATTAATTCGATCAATTCTTGAGACAAAAAAATATATTCTTGAAAATTATCAAGAATATATATTCTTGTAACAAGAAAATTTTCTCAAGAGTAGTACTTTTTTTTTTCTCAGTGCATAATACACATGCTGGTAAAATTTGGAAACGATTTACCACTTCTAACCAAAGATAATTCCAATTGAAAATGACATTTTTACACAGGCAGTATGGAAAATAAATAGCGAATGAAAAAGACAGCAGTAGCATAAACTATAGATTGGGAAAGAACTACCTTTAAGGATAATTTTCCAACGAAAATTTCAATCTTACGATATTTTTCATTTCAGTACTTTTTTTGTAGATTTTGAAGTTTTCTACAAAAAAGCTTTATTTATTTTTTTTTTTTTTTTAAATCAATGGTAAATCAAAATCTCAAATTTTGAAAAATCAAAAACGTAATGAAAAATCATTGCAATGATATAATTATCTTAATACTACTTCTACGATATTTTTATCTCAGTATTTTTCTGTAGAGCATAAAACTTTCTACAAAAAAGGTTTCTCTAGTTTTTTTTTCCAAAAATTAATCCTAAATCTCAAATTTTGTAAAATCAAAAATGGAATAAAAATCATTGCAATATAATTTTTTTAAAGTTTCATTTTCCAAATAAAATATCACTCCTGTGTTATTTCTGCCTCAATACTTTTTTTCAATAGATCAAAAACTATGAAATCAAATCTAAAATTTTCACCAATAATCAATTATCGTTATTTTTTCACTACTGAGAAAAATTAATTTACTTGGCTGATAAAAAAATTAACCAGATTAAAGTAGAAAAATTTATAAATTAAAAAATTTTCTTCTTTTTAAAAAACGATGAAACTCTAAATTTTTTTTTAATTTACATAGTGGTCACCTACCTTAATAAAATAATAAAAAATTCAGATTG